AGTTAATGTAAAGCCTCTAGTCTCTTACAAACCAGGGAGGTGTTTTTTTGAGAATCCTCTGTGATGACGTCCCAGCTCAGGCCCTTTTCATGATATCCTTTTTAACTATTTTAGCATCAATTCTATATTGTTGTATAGATGAACTCTATAGCTGTTGAGAGAGATGAATGATGTTGAATCATAGAAGCACTCTCTTTTCAAGTCACATTAATTTTTATTCTTTGTTGGTCATAATATATATATACACATTTCAAATGGATTTTTAAATTATACTTTTAATGGTTAGCTTGTTGAATGTGGCAAAGGATCTTTTCTTGTTAAAACTTCTTCTCCTAAGTAACGATTTTTTATTGATGCTGTTAACATTAATTTTAAATCTAAAAAGACTTTGATGAAAGATGCCAACTTTGAAGAAAAAATTAGTTGGTCAACTGTCTTATTACACAAATCATATTTCTGTCAAATGGCAGGAAATATAATTTGAAAAAGATTAATTACATAATCATTATACATGGAAAAATATATTACTTAACATAATTTGTTAAATGGAGGAATTTAATATGAAATAGTAGATTCCCAAATTTATACAAATAACCAGATGGTGAGCAGATAGTTTTAATTAAATTATGTTTAGTAATTATAGCTGATTAATTTTAGGTTTGACTCAGATTAGAAAGAATGTATTATTTCCCAGGAAATGTATTTTTGGTTTCCTTACAATGATGGGAATATTGAATTTGTGCTGTGGTCTGGAATCGTGAAGAACCATGATCAGCATTAGGCAGTGCCAATTCTGTTTCACTTGATAAGGCAATGGATGTGGATATGATGACACTCCAGCACAATCTTGTGTCATCATATTACTGGTATCTCAGGGCACATCTATACTACCTTTTTGGGTACATCTATACTGCGCGGCTATTTCAGGATACTGGAGGTATCTCATAATAGCTACCCTGCATCTGCACAAGCCATCTGTTATTTCAAAATATTTTTCAAAATAACACGCACGCTATTTCGCCATCCTGGTAAACCTCCTTGCACAAAGGTTAACTGATAGCTCGAAATAGCATGTTATTTCCAAATTTGGCACCTTATAGACATGCCAAATTTCAAAATAAATTGTTTTGAAATAGATTTGAGATACAATAAGCAATTTGCATAGTGCAAATTTCGTATCTTATTTCCAGTTTAGGGTGCTGTGTAGACGCACCCTTTGAGTTTAAAGTGTCCTGTGTTGTGTTTTTCTGTAGGAGCAGAAATACTTTTCTATACTAGCCCTGACCTGTGAAGGGGTGTCATTTGCTGTGGGACAAGAGGGACAGTTGCCTCTGCATACTTTGGTGTGCCTTCACCAAAACTGTCTGTATGCTCCATTTCGTCTTCCTCTCCCCTGCCCCTTTCCCACACTTCTAATACAGTCATTAGGAAATTTGTCTAGTTTTTCTTTGTGTCCCATTCATAGCTTTTGATGTAAAAATATGAATGTTAGAGACAGGAGAAATTGGCTTTGTAATGCGCCAGCCAGTTAATATCTTTATTCAAGCCCAGGGCAACAGTGTTAAACTTGAAGATGAATTCCAGTTCTGCAGACTCTCTCTAATTGGTTAGTGACATTCCTTTGTAGAAGAATGGCCACTTTTAAATCCATGACTGAGTGATCAGGCAGGTTAAAATATTCCTCTACAAGTTTGTGTGCATTACCATTTCTGTTGTCTGATTTGTGTCCATTTATCCTTTGTTGTAGGCCAATATACATAGCAGAGGGGCATTGCTGGCACTTGATGGCATATATATAATATTAGTGAATGTGCAGGTGTATGAGCCCCTGATGTGACTATTGTAGTTAGGTCCTGTGATGGTGTTGCTTGTATAGATGTGTGGACAGAGTTGGCAACAGGGTTTATTGCAGGGGTAGGTTCCTGGGTGAGTGAATCTGAGGTGCAGTGTGTGGCTGCTAGAAAGGATTTGCTTCAGATTGGGGGGCTGTGTGTAGATGAGGATTGGCCTGTCTCCCAAGGCCTGTGAGAGTGAGGGATCATTTTCCAGGGTAGGTTGTAGACTGTCAATGATACATTGGAGGGGTTTAAGCTGGGGGCTATAGGTGATGACCAGTGGTGTTTTGTTATTTCCTTTGTTGAACCTGTCTTGAAGTAGTTGTCTTCTGGATTCTTGTTTGGCTCTGTCAATCTGTTTCCTCACTTCCCCAGGTGGGTATTTAAGTTTTAAGAATGCCTGATAAAGATCTTGTAGGTGTTTGTCTCTGTGGGAGTGGAGCAAATCTGGTTGTATCTTAGGGCCTGGCTGTAAATAATTGATTGTGTGATGTGTCCTGGATGGAAGCAAGAAGCATGTAGGTAAGAAATGATGGTCATATAAACACCACCGTATACTGGAAACCCACTGACCGCTATTCGAGACCCAAACGCTTTAACCATAAGAATGCTTGAGGACTCAAGGCCAGCCATCTATACAAAATGATAAAGGGCCCAATTCTCTCAGTCTCCCTAAAGTTTAGTCTTATTACGTTGTAGTCCCATTATAATCAGTGGGGCTACTCAATCAGAACCTAATTTTTTGAGGTGCTGAGCCCTCTGGCTCCAATTCAGCAAAGCATGTAACATGTGCTTCTCCCCATTGACTTCAGCAAGTCTCATGCATGTGCTTAAATTTAAGCACATCATGCCTAAGTGCTTTGTGGATGAGGCCACAGCACTCTCCATTTTGTAGAATTGAGTCCACATTGCTGTGATATTCCAAGGATCTAGCCCAATGGGAGTTTTTCATGAGCTTTGGATCAGACCCAGTGTGCATACGGGTGACAGGATTAGGGCCCAAATGTTTAGGCAATTTTTCATTTATTATTTTTACAGCTCCAATGACATGCCTGCATGAATGTTCTGAACTCATTTAGGCCATGTAGATGAGTTAAGTGGCAGTCTAGTGAGAGCTGAGAACACTCAACATCTTGCCATACTCCTCATTCTGCAGGATTGGGAGATGTGTTAGCCTAGAAGAACAAGGCTCCAACATTTAATACTTGTTTCCTACCTGAAGAATAGTAAACTGTATCAGTCTGACTTTGCTTGTGGTGTTTGCTCTCCATTGCCTGCCTAGTCATCTATTTCCTAGACACTATAAACAGAAAAGTGGAATGAACATGTTGAAATATTATAGCAGAACATCACAGTCCAAAGGCACTAATATTAATAAAGAGAACCTTTCAGAATCTGCCCATGCCAACTACTGTGAGAACTGAAAATGGCTCAATGTTTAAGCCATCTGGCAAATTTGATTCTGGACACAAAAAAGTGGGTTAGAAGACTGGCAGACCACTTTGGATGCCATTAGCAAACATAAAAGAATCCTTAAACCACCTTCCCTTCTGCAGCTTTCTTAAAGATAGCTCTCAGCCTGTCATGTAGACAAAGTGCTGGTGGCCTGCATCATCCTTCTAAATGCCATTTTCCTTTATCTCTGCTTTCAGTCTGCAAAATCCTTCCTCCATTATCTGCCTGGTGCAAATCCTTGTTTGCTGGCTGCCTTTTTATGTTGAAAAGTGTTCTGCCTGAATATCCACTATTTCTGCTATGTAAATCAGCACATTTCCTGCAGATTGATTTTTTTCCTCTGTGAATCACGAGTATAATTTACCATCTTCTAGCTGAGAATTGGGAGTATAATTTGAGTTGCTTCTTTGTAGAGTCTTCAGTGACTATTTAATTTCCACTCATGAGTTGTGGTTTTAGTTGTCTCAGATTTGAAACCTTCTCAACAAAAGGATTGATTCTGCGGTAGATAATAGCATCACTTACAGTATATTCTGGGCCTTGCAGTGCTAGAGAGTCTGAAATACAACTACAATGTGACAATTTTCACAACATCTCTGTAAAAGACATAATGTTATAACTATTAACTTGACAATAAAATTGTCTCTGAAATGGGAAACTGAGGATTTAACAATAATGATTTTTTTCACCATGAAAATGTTAAGAAAATGAAATAAAACAATGCAATTGTGTAACAAATACTATATGCTTCCTATAGATTTTTAAATGGAAAATGTAGATATCAAAATTAAAATAAGGGGTTGAAGGCATATTGCTCTTTCAGTCAATTACAAATGCAAGCCTATTACAAACTGTCATTCAGTCCATTTAGCAGTAAAATCTATTTTAAAAAATCCAAGTTTTCTAAAGTGCAGCAAACTTTTCTAAGTCTTGCATTTGCTAGTGTATATTAAAAGAAATGCAGGGCTTTAATTTTCCAATTTTAAAAGCATTTCAAGTAATTTTTTTCTTATATGTATGTCTGTGTATTACTATTTGTCATCTATTAAGCACTGACAATATTTTATAAGACACAGATGAAACACAGTTCCAGTCCAAAGATGCTTACATGTGTAATCCTACTGAAGTAAATCATAGTCTATTTGTGTTCCTGCCTGTTCCTAGGGCTTCCTGCAGGACTTCCATCACCTAGATAGCTGTTTTTTGCTGTTCCCAGGATGACTGTTAACTAGAATTCTGCAGGAACTAAATTGTCTATTTTGTAAAACATTCTGCAACTTTTTAATTTTTTTCTGCTCTAAAATGGAAGAAAAACAAAAATTTCTCCACAAAATATAATTTTAGAAAAAAATGTGTTTCAGGTCAATGGAAACAATTCATTTAAAGAAAATCATTGTGTTTGTTCTGATTTTCCTTTTTTTTAAAAAATTCAAATATATACAAAATTTCTAGACAAAAAGTTGCTTTGAGAGTAAAATCAAAACCCTCCATTCTGTAAATGTCATAATGGAATGTTTGATCCTTATCGGAATGCTTTTTTTCATGGAAATTGATATATTTCTCCAAAATCTTTTGTCTTTCACAAATGTGCATTTTCTGATGAAAAAAATTCCATTAGAAATTTTCTGACCAGCTCTACAGTTAACAAAGATTTAATTTATTAATTTATATACAATATGACATAAATCCTATCTCCACTAAATTCAATAGGACTTTTGCCATAGACTTCAATGATGCCACGATGACACCCGATATACAAATGCACAAGCATGTGCTATCTACTCATCCATATATCTAGCTTCTACATATCTACACCTAAGTAAGTATTTCATCTATATTTGTATCTGGACTGGAAAAAATCAAATGTCTAACTAATGGACATTCTTCCAGAAACCCTAGGAACAGCCAGTCTGAGGAGAGAGATGGGAAAGAAGGTTAAGGTGTATGTTTTGTTATAGCTCGAGTAATAATTGAAAAAAGCCAAATCCTAGAAAGGTTCGGAGTGGGGGGAGGGTTGTACATTTGACCTTATATAGAATGCAGAGATGTTATTTGAAGGAGAGCGGGTATAGCACCTGTACAGTCTGAACTATGTTTTCTTCTAATCTTTGTCTACCTTTCGCATCGCAATCCATCTCCCATCTAAACCTTCAATCTTACTGGAAACAATGGGAGAATACTGGGTGGATATTTTTAGTGTGGGTGAAAATCATGAGAAAATCCCCTTTTAAGAGCTCAGAAATAAGTTTTGAAGGGTACGTCTACACTTCACGCTTCTTTTGGAAAAAGCGATTCTGGAAGATAGCTTCCGGAATAGCTTATTTCGAAATAGCACATCTACACACAAAAAGTGCATTGAGACAGCGATTTCCTATTTTGAAATAGAGTGCCCACACTGATTGGATGCTATCTCACCTTAAAGGCCACCCGGAGTCAGTTCAGGCAGGACATTAGGTCAGCAGTGATTTCCTGAAGGACGTTTAAAGGGACCACCCCGTATAGCCATGTCTTGGGTTCTTTTGCTTGCTTGCCTCCTCTCTGAGGGACAAGCAAAGCTTTTGCACCATGTGCTTTGGTTGCCCTGTGTTTGGACACCACAGCACTCCCTGCTATGGAGCCGGAGCTGCAGAAAGGAATCTAGGGGCCACAGTGGATCACAAGCTAAATATGAGCCATCAGTGTGATGCTGTTGCAAAAAAAGCAAACATAATTCTGGGATGCATTAACAGGAGTGTTGTGAGCAAGACATGAGAAGTCATTCTTCCGCTCTACTCTGTATTGATTAGCTCTCAATTGGAGTATTGTGTCCAGTTCTCGGCACCACATTTCAAGAAAGATGTGGAGAAATTGGAGAAGATCCAGAGAAGAGCAACAAAAATGATTAAAGGTCTAGAGGACATGACTTATGAAGGAAGACTGAAAGAATTGGGCTTGTTTAATTTGGAAAAGAGAAAACTAAGAGGGGACATGATAGTGGTCTTCAGGTATCTAAAAGGGTGTCACAAGGAGGAGGGAGAAAAATTGTTCTTCTTGGCCCCTGAGGATAGAACAAGAAGCAATGGGCTTAAACTGCAGCAAAGGAGGTTTAGCTTGGACATTAGGAAAAAGTTCCTAACTGTCAGGATGGTTAAACACTGGAATAAATTGCCTAGGGAGGTTGTGGAATTTCCATCTCTGGAGATATTTAAGAGCAGGTTAGTTAGACCTCTATCAGGGATAGTCTAGACGGTCTGGGTCCTGCCATGAGGTCAGGGGACTGGGCTCAATGACCTCTTGAGGTCCCTTCCAGTTCTACTAGTGTTCTATGATTCTATGATTCTACTCTGGGTATGCAATGGCCCTGACCGTCATTCTGCAGTTTCTGTAGCAGTTTCTGCAGGCTGCCCTCCAGACCCTGCAGGAACACAACCCCGAGCTATTTTAGGAGACCCTCAACATGTGTCTGGGAGCACAGCTCTTTGAGATGCACCCCACTGTGGAGTGCCACTTCTGGTAGCTGGACCCCAGTTCCAACTGGTGGGACTGGCTTGTCATGAAGGGGTGGGACAACCAGAAGTGGCTCCAGAATGGTAGCTGGACCCCAGTTCCAACTGGTGGGACTGGCTTGTCATGAAGGGGTGGGACAACCAGAAGTGGCTCCAGAACTTCCACATGAGGAAGGAGACATTCCTGGAGCTGTGTGCCTGGCTCACCCCTTCTCTCATACGATGGGACAACCAGATGCAACCCATCCTCTCCCTGGAGAAGCAGGGGTTCTGCTCTGGAGTGGGAGCTGAGCTCCCTCACCCTTTGCACCGGACCTACTCCTGGGTCCAGGTATGGCCTTTGGTGGCCAAGCTATCGGTCAACCGGCTGTATATATTGATGTTATGCTGTCTGGAGTGGAGATCCTGGAGGTTCTTCTCACCCAAACACCTCCATCAGGGCCAGGATCTCCTACCCAGACCAGGGCAGCGCACATCTTTTGTGGTGCCTGGCAGGCTCCTGGGAGCCCTCTGAGTGCTCCCTGGGATGGGCAGGGTGTTCTTTGGGGGCCTGAGGGTCTGCCATGCTGGCCCAACAAAGGCTGTGAGGGCCAGCTTCCTGCCACAAGCCCTTTCCCCTGTGTCTGTAGCTTTAAAAGCTTCAGGCGAAGAGAAACTATAGAGTCCTGAGGCATGTGGACAGAGTGGCCAGCAGGGCATCTGTGGGATTTCCTGGAGGCTCCTTTTTTCAAAAAAACCCCTCCCTGTGCCACATCCACATCCACCTTTTCTTTGAAATAGCTATTTCAGAAGAGGCGTTATTCCTCATTCCGGGTATGTCACCAGAGGCATGTAAATTAGACTACCCGACACAGTCATTGAAGTTGGGATTTAAATATCCTCGGCTTCATTAAAATAAAAATGGCCGCCGTGCTGGTCCGGCTCAGCTGATCGTCGGCACAGCGCCTGAGTCAAGAAGCAGATCAGTCAACAGGGAACGCCTTTGTCAACCGCTCCTTTATGCCTTGTGAAACACCTCTCATGATGCACCACAATCTCCCCTCTGTTTGAACCCTGTTTTTATGCCCCACATGCACAATATTTAATTTGGAGTAGTTTTGAACCAAATTGGAGCATCAGTTGTTGAACTGAACTGAAACATTTAGCTTTCTGTCAATTAACCATTAAACTTTTTTCCTAACATGCTATAGAGCTTGATGAGAATTGTAGTTCAGGTGCTTTATGCCCTTGTTCCTTCCTAAGGGTATGTCTACACTACCACCCTAGTTCGAACTAGGGTGGTAATGTAGTCAACTGGAGTTGCAAATGAAGCCTGGGATTTGAATTTCCCGGGCTTCATTTGCATGTTGCCAGGCGCCGCCATTTTTAAATGTCCGCTAGTTCGGACTCCGTGCCCGCGGCTACACACGGCACAAACTAGGTAGTTCGGATTAGGCTTCCTATTCCGAACTACCGGTACACCTCGTTCCACCGGTAGTTCGGAATAGGAAGCCTAATCCGAACTACCTAGTTTGTGCCGTGTGTAGCCGCGGGCACGGAGTCCGAACTAGCGGACATTTAAAAATGGCGGCGCCTGGCAACATGCAAATGAAGCCCGGGAAATTCAAATCCCAGGCTTCATTTGCAACTCCAGTTGACTACATTACCACCCTAGTTCGAACTAGGGTGGTAGTGTAGACATACCCTTAGGAAGGAACAAGGGCATAAAGCACCTGAACTACAATTCTCATCAAGCTCTATAGCATGTTAGGAAAAAAGTTTAATGGTTAATTGACAGAAAGCTAAAGTTCCTTGGATGGACTACACCTCCCATGATGCACCACAGTCTCCCCTCTGTTTGAACCCTGTGAATCTTCATGGGAGGTACTTCAGGCATGGGAAATGCTACTTAATGATTCAAAACAACATGTTTCTCTATGGTTCAACATGCCACAATGGAATCACTTTTTAGGATTTATGACCAATCCTGCCTCATTAGTATTATTGAAATGGACTTAAACAGGAGTAGAATCAAACCTTTACTGCCATGTTTTTTAAACTAATCTGAAATTAAATCAAATTTTGAAATGTAACACCATTAAACTGGAATACTGAACACCAGCAATAATCTGAAGCAAAGTGAGCAGTAATTTGTTGTGCTATAAAATCACATCCTTAGTGAACAAGTTTCATAAAGTAGGCAAATTGGGTAGAATGGAGGAGCAAGGGGAATAAAAGCATCCAAAAATGAAGGAACATTAAAGGGCAAATTTTCAAATGCATGTACGAATAGTACATCCACAAAGTGCACATTTATTTACCTATTCAAATAAATAGTTAGGCATGCAGTAGCTTTATTTGGTACATCATGTTATTTTGGACAAGCGCAATAGGCTATGTTTACACAGCTGGGGGGGTTTTGGAAAAAGGTACGCAAATTGCAATTCTCAATTTGCATACTTTTTTCTGATTCTTTTTCTCAGAAGAGGCTTTCCGACATTTGGCCCATCTACACGGGGCCAAATGTTGGGAAAACCTCCTCTTTCGGAAGAACCCTTATTCCTCATAAAATGCCCCGTGGCTTCCGAAAGAGTGCATCTGCTCTTGACGTGTTCCCTAGATGCAGCAGAATTTTTCTGGGATACCTTTGGTATTCCTGAAAAACTCTGTAGTGTAGACATAGCCCCTAAGGGCATGTCTACACTACAGGGCAAAAGTTGAATTAAGCTATGCAACTTCAGCTACATCAATTGCGTAGCTTAAGTCGAAATGGCTTAACTTGGCTTTTGGCGCTGTCTACACAGCAGAAAGTTGAAGGAAGAACATTCTTCCTTCAGCTTCACTTAGTCCTCATAAAATGAGGGCTACAGGAGTCAGAGAAAGAAGTCTTCCATCTTGACATTATTTTGAAATAATAGATTGCTGTGTAGATGCTCATTTTGTTATTTCAAAATAACATCGGCATAGAGGTACCCTAAGTGATTTCTGAATGGAAACTTACGTTTGGTCATTGTCCATGTTTCTGTAACTGCTGATTCTGCTTTTGAACATTTGGACCTTAGATTCAGACATACACACAGGGAAAAAAACTAAGAATGAAATCTTCCATATTGATTTTAATTCACCCAGCTGTGTCTGGGCCTTGTGGCAATTTACAGATCAGTATGTGATGTATTGAGAGAGTGGAAATCTTAACATTGAATTTCCATGCTTTTGTGGGTTTAAATCAGACTTTTGACTCTAAGAACAGTGAGAGAGAGAGAGAGCAATTGTTGTCCCTTTTATCTGATGAAGAATATTTGTATTTTAAAAAATACTGTTCTGCATAAACTACCTCTCATGCTGTGAAATTAATATGTATTTTCAGATTTCTTTGGAATCCCAGGTGCATCAGTGTTCCCTCTAATTTTTTTCCCATCCATGTGTGGAATAAATTTTGTTATGTGCACTGAGACATATGTGGATGTGCACTACCAGTATAAACATATGCTGCCAACTGTGGGCAATGTGGACAGCTGTGGGCACTCTGCTAATCAGTTGCACATGCTAACAATTCTGTGTTTGATTTAATGATGTCTGTCTCTATCTCTCTATTTATACGCAGTGGTCTCTGAGACCAATTGCAGCAGTCCGGTATCATCTCTGCATTATATTTTTACAGTCTCTAAGGGCTAGTCCACACCTAAAGCTCTAAGTCAGCCTAAGTTGCACTACTTCAGTGACATAAATTATGTGATCAGTGTTTTTTGAACTTCGGGACTCAACCCCGTACTGGGTCTCAGAATGTAAGGCATGAAGTTGCCTTGCTCAGCACGAGGGACCCTGGTAGCTGGATAAAGCTGGGTAGAGACCCACACTTTGAAAACCACTGCTTGTCCCTACCTGTTCTGACACCGCACTGTGCCCTGGAAGCAGTTTGCAGCAGGTTCCACTCCTAAATGGAGGGGTCGTGTGGCTGCACATGCTGCCCCTTCCCTGAGCACCGGCTCCACACTCCCATTAGCCAGTTCACAGCCAATGGGACTGAGGGAGTAATGCCTGCAGGCAAGAGCTTCAAGGAGCTGTTTTCATGCCTCCACTTAGGAGCTGAACTTGCTGCTCGCCACTTCTGGGGTACAGCGCAGTCCACAGTGCCAGGACCAGTGGGAAGCCTGCCTCTGCACCCCCACTGCACAACTGACTGGGAGCTGCCAGAGGTAAGCCCATACCCAACCCCATGGCCTGAACTCCTGCCCCAGCCCTGAGCCCTACCTCAAAGTTGGAGCCATCTCCTGCACCTGAACCCCGCATCTCAGCCCCATCCCAGAGTCTGTATCCTGCAATTCAGAGCATTGATCCCTTCCCACACCCCAACTCCCTGCCGCAACCTGGAACTCTGTCCTACACCCTGAACCCTTCATTTCCAGCTCTACCACACAGTCCTCACCCCTGCACCCTGAATCTGCCCCAGCCAGGATCCCCCTCTGTTAGCCGATGGTCAGGGCAGTGTGTGTGTGGGTGTGTTTCCGACAAAAGGTTTAACATCCGTGTCTTTACTGCTAGGACCGGGGTCCCATCGCAGAGGGTGGCCAGCAGGCCAACATACGCCCCGTTATATAGGAAGAGCTTATTACACCTTAGATTTCAGCTGCTAGAACACAGGGGTTCCTTCGCAGCGGGCAGCCAAGGAAAGGCTGAAAAGGTGCCCCAACGGATCTTGTCACCTGGGAGTGACACAGATCCAAACGCCCAAGCTCTCCCTATGTCTGTCCCTTTATGACCGGCTGAAGTTCTTTTAAATTGTGCTTGGTTCTGTTACAGCAACTGGAGGAGTCAGGTTAAAGCTTAAACACTTACAGGTTTATTAAAAGGCTTATAAAAGCATATGGTTACAATGGCTATTGCTCTATTTCTTAAATGCTAGCAAATATATATTAAAGCTGAAGAAAAACAACAAACAACAAATTTTCTTGTGCCATTCCAGACATTTGGACTTCCCAAAGTAGCATTCTGATTACTATAGTGTGAAACTAGCTTCCAAAATAGGCTACTAGACGTTTCCTTCAAAAAACGCATCTACTGAAGCCTGGACCTCATCCTCTAGTTTTCAGCAAAGGTAATGAAGGTAGCACACAAGGCATTTTAACAAACTTATCAGAGATTCACCTGCTTTCTTTGAGAGGCAAATCATTCATATTGAGTGGACCCTAAACTCTGCCAACAATGTCTTCTCACTACTGAAGTAAACCTTGCCAATTAGCAGTTTATCGTGGGGTACCAGCCCTCTCTCCCACCAGATTGGTTTTGTTTTAATGGCCACACAAATGAAATATTTAGCTTCTGTAAAATTGCACACCAACCATAAAAGTGGTTTGGCCAGAGATAATAAGAAATCTATAAGTAACAACATGGGTAAGTAAGACATCAGCATATTTAAGTAAAGATGCCCACAACAATGAGGAAACTAGTAACCTCACCATTGCAATAACAGCTACTTGACCTGCTACTCATTGGTGCCTGATGCCTTAAAAAGCCTCAAGAATTATAGAATTGCATGGGTTAACAATTAAACATCTGTGAACCATGCTTGGTCCTATAAGAGAAACAGTGACTCTAGTCAATGTAACCTCCTTCAAGTCACATACATAGAACAAATACACACTAATAGCAATGGGGAATACATGGCCTTGGGCCGCCCCTCATTCACACAGAATTATTTTGTTTATTGTAACAACATGAACACTACGAGGACAAAGAATACACAGTCCTCTGAGTTAAAGTTTGTATGGAATATTGTGGGAAAGAAGCTAAACACTGACATTAGGCCACTGAAGTTGGACCTACTGACTCCTACTGGGGCTTACCACTTAAAGCCCAGACAAAGGTAACCCCTGAGGCATGGCTATCATTTGTTAAACAATGGCCATTGCTAACTTGCCGTATTATTAACCAGGTCCTTGAGGACCAAATAGAGCCTCCCAATTGTGCATCATGCCCTGAACAGACCCCTGTCCTAGAACCAGGACAACTGTCACTGGTCCTTACCTTGGTGATGTTCCACACTGGTATAAACCAGCTGTGTGCTAGACTGGCTAATCAAATTGGCAAATGCCTAATTAGGCAATGACAAGGCTTAGCAGATACCATCGCAGATTGGTTTGAGCCTGGTAACCCTATCAGCAACACTTATGTCATAGCCCAGAAATTGTATGAGAATCCAGACTTGTAAATGCAGTAATATCCAGTGCCCGTAAAGGCCTACACACCAGCCAAGCTAATCAATTGATCCTAAATAGTTTGAAGGATCTGTCCAGCTCTGTAGACCTAACCTGATGTTTGGACCAGAAGCTAATTGGATTGGAAGTAAAATAAAGAAATTAGAAGGCCAGTATTGAAGAATAAGGTAAGCTTTAGCCACTACCACTTAGTTCTTATGATGGTGAGTCCCCAATCTCCCCTGTGCCTACCCATGGGAGTAGGGAAGAGAGAATCCATGAGGACCCAAAGGCCCACCTGGACAGGGCATAGTACAACCATTTGTTTTTGGTCCCTCTGAGGATTCCTCACTCAGATCAGATCAGAATGGTAACCTCCCTG